CAGGCCATTTAACCATCCAAATGATTTCTAAACGGGTTTATTAAGCTGAAAAAGTTGCCAAGTTCCCCTTTAAGAAACAACTATATATAATTAGGTTAGGTTTATTTATGCAGATCAGTGGTTGAACATACACACCGTCAGCCCATATCTCAGCATTTTCCTCATTTCTGTTAAAAAATCAAAGAAGAAGTTCTAAAGAAGTTTGGATTATTATTTAAGATCTAAACTTTAAAGATCTGAACTATACTCACAGATCCTTCAGTCTCTGATTAACAGCATCGTCCGGCTTTAGAAAACAACTTAGGATCTGATATAAGAATGAGAACAAAACACTGAATCTGTCAGAAAACTTGTACAGACTTGTATAAAAAGTTGCTAAAAATATCAGGAAAACTCATCCAAATCTAATAATAACAGCACTCTGTTGTAAATGTAAGCCTGATTAAACAAACTTCCTGCAGTTATTGTGTTCACTGTTATTATTATACATTGAATATAATATTAAATATCTATAAAATATGTCACTTAATTTACTAAATGATAGAAAAAGGATCCTGTTAGGAAAAAAGATTGGGAACCACTGATATAGAGACAATTTTAAACTCCTTGTAGTACGTTTAAGAAGGATTTTGAATTGAGTATTTTTACTTTGTTTGTATTTGTGCTAAAGATCTAAATCCTTCCTCCACCAGCAAACAGAAAAACCTAATCTTAATCTTAATCATGAGAGGGTTTAGGATTGATACAGCAGGACAATGTGTGATGTTTGATGTCCTTTCCAGCTGTTTGTGGTGGTTGTGTGGAACTTCGAGCTCTACATGCTTCCTCTGGCTCTGCTGCTGCTGCTCGTCTGGAACTACTTCTTCTCCTCGAGCCGGGAAACAGCGGACATGGTGAGAAAACCAGGAAAAACTCATTATTCAATACAAACGTCTGTCTTTCAAGCAGTTAAACGTTTTACCGCTTTCCCCTCCTGCTGCAGACCATGGACGCCATGTTTGAATGGGAAGACGAAGAAGATGATAAAGAGGACAAGGTAGCGTCAGAACCGCTCTAACATGTCGCCGGTATTAATGTTTTATTGAACGTACTGAAGCTCTGATCCCTCGTTGCTGTCAGGAGTCCGAGCACAGAGGCTTCATGGATAAACTGTACGCCATCCAGGACGTGTTCATCAGCGTACAGAACGCTCTGGATGAGGTGGCGTCACACGGAGAGAGGATAAAGAAGTGAGTATCACAGAGAGCGGCTCGTCAAATTCATATTTTTATCCCCTCTTGCACAGTTTCAGTTGGATTTACTGTGTAAAAGGTTCCATATGTGAAGCATTTAAGTATTAATCACTTTTTATTGCCAGCGTGTGAACAGGTTGTAACGTAACTTAACAAACGAGTTGTTCCCTTACTGATTTCTCTGTTTTTCTATGTAGAGATGAGGGTGAAAGGATGTCACGTTCTGATTGTCAGTTATTTTACAGTGTTCAGTGTTTGTCGCTGTTGGACGCTGACTGCAGTTCACTGAACGGCCACTGGTGCCGCTGTTAGCCACTGCTAGGACATACAGAGATACAGTATCTCAGTTTATTTGTGCTCTTCTTCCTCCGCAGCACCGTTAACTGGACAGTGCCTTTTCTAAGCTGGTTGGCGATCACTGCCTTATGTTCGGCCACAGTTCTGCTCTACCTCATTCCTCTTCGATACCTTGTGCTGGCGTGGGGTGAGTCACACAGAGAATAATATAATAATAATAATCCATATTCATTCTATAAACTGACGTCTTCTCTTCCGCAGGTGTGAATAAATTCACCAAGAAGCTTCGCGATCCGTACATGATCGACAACAACGAGCTTCTTGACTTTCTTTCCAGAGTGCCGTCTGACGTTCAAGTGGTGAGTTTATTTCAGCGTTGAACGACGGAGGCGACGTTGAGTGTTTCTTTCTTCTTGTTTTTGCATTTTTATTTATTCATTTTTTACTTTTAAGGTTCATTAAACACAAGTGTTGCTTAAAGCTTAAAGCTAATTCTCATCTGCAGTCCCTTTATAGACCTGCACACAGCGATGTAGAACATTATATAGTCAACCTAGAACATGAATCCTGGGTTCCTCAGGGTTCCCACGCATCCTGGAAAACCTGGAAAAACAACACGACAAAAGAAAACATTAAATTTGTAAGTAGGTTATGCAGGAGTTAATGTAAACAACCGACGCTGTTTGTTGTCCCGTATTAGTGCTCTTAAGCAAACAATATGGCTGCAGTGAGCAAATACAGTCTGCAGCAGCGCCACGGTTTCCTGTTTAATTAGAGACAGAACCTGTCATCATGTGTGTGTGTCTATGTGTGTTGACAGATGCAGTACCATGAGCTGAAGGTCGACCCCGGACAAAGTCCTAGCAAACGCAAGAGGACAAACCCGAGTTAGCTGCCGGCTCTCGCCCACTCTCTCTCCTGTAAACTCTGTAAACTATGTTATTTATATATTTCTGCTATATTTTCATTATTATGAGAAGTTGTATCTTGTTGAGTTGTTTCTGTTTTGTTACTGTGGAAAGATTTATTTTCTAAATCTTGTAAAGAAAAGCTTGTTTTTTTAAAAATCGGTTTTATTTGTTGAAACCAGACGCAGGACGATGTAATGCTGTCCGTTCTGAATGTACACGCGTGTGCATGTATGAAACTGTTGCATGGAGTCGGTTTGAACTCGATGTATCGTCAGTGTCTGATGTTACTTTAAAGGTAGAGTTGCATGGTATTGCTGCCTCTGTTACTCCATGTATCACACACACACACACACACACACGCACAGGTAAATATTACCTCATAGGAAACAATAGATTTGGTCAGATCCACACGACACGTGAACATGGATTTAGTTTTTTATTTAATATTATTTTGAGTTTAAACGTACAATAAGTCATTTCTCTCACATCAAAACAATAACACAAGTTTGGTGATTTTATGAATTTATGAGATTAAAAATCAAACCTATAAGGTAAAGTTTGACTTTAAACTATAATACTAAAATACAGAAGTAATTAGTAACTAATACGGCTTCATTTTATGGTCAAATGTGTCTTAAAACACAAGAAAGTCTTTCTGAATGAGGCCTCATCACATCTCACAATAGACCTTTTTCACAGCAGCCGTTTTAACATGAAACAGTAGGTTAAAGTTACCAATGATACTAACTAAGGCTCCACTGACTGACACATTATTGTTCCAATTACAGCTATCTGTATTTGTCTTAAAGGTGCAGTGTTATTATGATAAAAAGTCAAAACAATGAGATAAAGTTTGACTTTAAACAACAATATCAAAATACAAAACCAGTTATTAAAGACAAGAAGCTACATTATTGTCCTTTTAACGTGTTTTTTATTTTATTATGACACAGTAAAAAAAACATATAACAATGTGTTTTATTTTACTCTTTATTTTTCTTTTTTTGTTTGTTTTGGCATTTTAAATCTTCCATAAAGATAAACTTATAAACTATATGATCCAAGGAGACAAAATCTTAATATTTCAGCCTGAAGTTTATTTATTTTTATTCACTTTCAGTCTCTGATTTCCTGCGAACGTCGGTGTGAACAATCAGAGTTAACGTCCGAGGTTTTATGATCTCGGTTTTCGGGATGTGATTCCCTGCATGTCCGTGGGCCGTCGTCTGTGTGTGTCGAAGTGTTTCTGCATGACTGAACATAAATTATATGCAAAGTGCATTTTATGGATCCTGAATGTGAAGCTGCGTTCTGTTTACTCTCATTGATTTCTGTCATTTTGCACATTGTCTGTTTCCTGTTGCATTATGGGTGTTTTGCTGCCGTTGACTAACTTCTGCGACTGTAATGAAGTCGAATGCAGGACCGACTGTAACGACCGTGTAACGTTTGTCTGAGAAAATATATTTGTACACAGATCTACTGTCTGTTGTTATTATTCACTGTAAAACCAGAAACGTTCATTTAACTCAAAGAAAATAGTTTGAACTGAAAACATCGGAAAGTTTAAGTGAAACTAACTAAATTTAAAAAAAAAAAAACATTCTGGTACTTTTTACTGGATATTTTGTTTTCACTGTGCAAACAATTACAGAATTAAATCAGTGTAAAATTACTGAAGCTACTTAAACAACAATGTTTTTTAATGTTTACTTAACGTTTTTGATGTTAAAATAACAAATAATAACACATTACAGTGCAGACACTATAAAAACTAACTACAGAAGTAAGTTAACATAATTTAATCCTTCCAAAAACATTTGATTCATATTAATATTATTATTATTTATTAAACTCAACTTAAAAATGGCTGAAGTAATAAATAATGTCGTATTTTAGGTTTTGGTAATTTAATTCCAGTTTGTTTCCTTGACTCATTTTCTTTAAGTTGACTTTATATGATTATAAAATATCAACCCCAAAATAAATTGGCTACCATTTTATTAATTGATTAATCGTAAATAGTTTTTTAATCGTCTATCAGCTGTTTTAACAGGTAATGTAATAATTTGCTTTAGTGGAAGAAAAAAGATTTAAGTGACTTTATTCAGATAAATTCTGTTCACACATTTTAAATAAGTTTGGGGAAATGCTGAATATGAGTTTAATATACTGACTAGTTTTTGTAATGGTGGAGGAAACTGACAGAAATATTTAATTACTTTGATTTTAACAAACTAAACTGTTAACTTTTATAAACATATTTATTGTCACATTCACTAAAACTTTCACTTTATCCTGACAGAACATGAGACTGAGATAATCAGCTGGTTTCTCCTGATGGGATTAACAAGAATCCACCAGATAAAAACAACCAATCAGAGCAGAGAAAGATTATTGATTATTGAGCCTAAAATACACTTAAATGTACCCGACTGCAACTTTAATCATCATAAGTCACAGTTTTAGGGAGAAGAACAATTCACTCACGAATTGTGTTTACCAGAAAGGTAAAACAACTATTAGTGTAACTAATTACTGTTGTAAGTGAAGTGCAGTGAGTAATAAGAGAAATAATAAATAAATAAAAAAATAAATAGTAATAAATAACATTTTGTTTAATTTAGAGCTGAAAACTGTTTTTAAAGCATAAAATTAACTTATTTTTCACTCCTGAATTGGAATAAAAACTCTTCCTGGCTGAGGTTGTTAGATTTGTATTAACATTATTGACATTAACAGAGTCACCATATAAACATGAAGACATGAAATATATTTATTTTAATAATTATAATTAGATAAATAATATATGAATCATATTTAAAGTCTGAAATAATCCAGATCATATCCAGCTCACAGTCTGATCACTGACCTTTGACCTGTGTCTGAGGAGTGTGCTGCAGGGTTTCGTCCAGCAGGGGGCGCCGTCCACTCGGATCCTCTCCACAGCTGCAGCAGAGCGACGACGTCTGACTCCTGGAAAACATCTGGAAAACATCTGGAGGTGGTTTTCTGTTGCAGACTCAGACAATTCAAACATTTTATTTCTCTGATGCTCATTTAATATTAATAATATTTATGATGTTCATTATTTATCAATAAACACAATGTTCATACTGTATATTCTAATGTATCACTACATTTATATTACACATTATATATCAGTTACACTTTCTTTTTTATAGTTTTTATTTATTCTCTTTATTTTCTATGCTTCTAATTATTAAATCTTCTCTATATCAATTTATATCAACAGACTTCTCAATATTCCTATTTCCAAGTGATTATAATTTAAACTATATGAATCTTATATTTCTGCCAATAGATCTCCTTCAATGTTTCACTCTGGACCTTTAACTTTTAATTGTGTTGTTTTATGTCTGAACTCTTTCAACTGTTCAACCTTGACTCTTTGTGTATAAAGATAAATGACAGCATGTTAAAGTGAAACAGGAATCAGAGTCTAATCTGCTTCCAGAAGAGTTGGGTTTACTGATGAAGACACTTTCTACCAGCGGTTCCCAACCTGAGGGTCAGGGTCCCCTCTAGAGCTCGCCAAATCTTCTTGATTTGAGTGTAATAAACTTTAAAATACACACAGTGGGTCGATATCTCAGCATTTGGTTCATTTATGTGAAGAAAACTAAATTAAATGTCAGATTATTATTTAACTGAACACAAACTATATTCACAGGAGAAAGGTGCTTTATATATGAAAGGAGGTGATGTCGTCCCACAATTCCTTGCAGCAGCCACATTTAACTCCATAACTTTAATACGCTTGTATGTTTTAAACTCTCTGTAACTTAAATATTTAAACTTTATTATATTAAAATGATCAAAGTGAAGTTTATTGGTTATTAGCTGTCTGAATCCAAGATGTTGGAGCTGTTGTTTGTTTCTTACACTTCAGCTCTGAGTTCATGTTCAAGCAGGATTTAATTAATTAGTTATATTTAATTAATTAGTTGTTTACTTAAAGTTCATTTTTCTACTTCAAGTTTTCTAAAATGTTATGTTTAAATATGCAAATGAGGCACAAACTTAAACTGTGCTGAAGTATAAATAATAACAAATGTTCTTTATTTATTTATTGATATTTTATAGCATGATATGGAAACACTAAAGTACATTAACTTGTACAGTAGTTGAGTAAATGTACTCAGTTACTTTCCTCCACTGACACCAAATTAGATTAATTTCAGGAAACTTTTTGCCAATTTATTGATAATCTTTGTTTTTTATATGGAACCTGAAAACTTCCTCCATAACTGAGAGTAACTATAAGTAGAAGTATAAATAGTAATACACTTTATTCATGTATTTATTATGATATGGAAATACTCGAGTACAATGCTGAGAGTATTTTACAGTAAAAGTCTGAACACTGAAAATGAAAAACAAAGATAATCAATAATTTTCCAAAAGTTTCCTGAAAATCTATATTGGTGCCAGTGGAGGAAAGTAACTGAGTACATTTACTTAAATTACTGTTTATTATTATTTATACTTCTACTGAACTACATTTATTTTAAAACAGTTACTAGTTACTTTAAGTGATAGAGGAAGTATTCAGAGTACTTTCCCTTATATAGGAATACTAAAGTACATGCACCACAAACTTGTACAGTAATCGAGTAAATGTACTCAGTTACCTTCTTCCACTGACACTAAATTTGATTTTCAGAAAACTTTTGGGAAATTATTGATAATCTTTGTTTTTTATAAAGAAAGTGAAGACGTGTGGTGTGTGTGTGTGTGTGTGTGTGTGTGTGTGTGGTGTGTGTGTGTGTCTGTCTGTCTGTGTGTGTGTGTGTGTTGTGTGTGTGTGTGTGTGTGTCTGTCTCTCTGTGTGTGTGTGAGTGTGTGTGAGCGGGCCGGCCGGTCTGTGGCGCACATGCTCAGTGAGGTTTATTTTTGCGCACAGAGGCTTTAAGAGCGCAGCGGCTGCAGGCAGCGAGAGACGGAGAGAGAGACTCCAGCGCACGGGAGGAGAAGCGGGGGAGCTGCAGCGACCCATCAGCTGAGTCTCACCCACAGATGAGCCACCACGGACCCGGTCGCAGACCCGGCCGTGCGCTGGGCACCCGGGCTAGCGCGCATGCATTTGTGCCCCATGCTCTAACGCACAACTCCACAGACTTTATTATTTCTCTTCCTCCCGGGGCTTCTGCAGATCACCGCCACCATCATGTGCTGGGCAAAGTCAGGGCCTTGGGGTTTACTTCGACAGCCTGAACGAAACAACCTGCCCGTGTCTCCGGCGGGACCTGGTGTCGGGCCGGGTGGTGGTGGAGGTCGCCGGGGATGTGCGGGGAAGAGCTTGGAATAACGGCGAGAGGAGTCGCCAAGGTCCGCTGGACGGAGTCGAGGAACGCCGGAGCCAACACGGCTTACACCCAGAACTACACCGAGGAGGTGGAGTACCTGCACCATACGACACCCTGATCGGAGAGGAGAGAGGTAAGGTCCAAACTTTATTCACACAGGAGTCATGTGTCAAAACAAAAGCCCCATCAGAGACACACACACGCGCAGTGGTGCTGATGCAACAGCTGATCGGGGATGCGAAACTCTCCGCAGCCCCTCTTCAGTCCAGCACCCCGCAAAAACCCGGCAGTTTAGACCCGAACCAGCCCGACGGAGGGTTTAATAAGAGTTGTGCTGCAGGGTGCATCCTCGGTTCTGCTGCAGGAGGAGGGAGAGAGGAGAGGAGAGGGAGAGGGAGAAAAAGTTGCAACCCGTGTATGAAAACACTATGAGCAAAAAGAGGAAATGGAGTCGCACCGAACAGAAAGATCTTGATCAGGTTTTTATTCAGTTTCAGTTAAACTGTGGTCCGAGAGCGATCTCCATTTTGTGCTGATTACATCCTGAAGCAGCAGACAGCCAACTCCCTTTGTTAGAAGCGGTTCAAACCTGTTCAGAAACTGCCAGAGAGGGGAGGAGGGGAGGAGAGGGAGAGAGGGGAGGGGAGGACCCGCTGACTGTGTGTGTGTGTGTGTGTGTGTGTGTGTGTGTGTGTGTGTCAGCTGCTGGTTAAAGGCCTCCCACCTGTGTGATGTTTGTAAAAACTTGATGCAAATAAGCGAAAGAATACAGTTTGATGTAAATGAGAGACTCTGTTACATCCACATAATGTGGGTCAGACTGTCACCTGCATCTGCTGCCTCCTCTTCCTCCTCCTCCTCCTCCTCCTCTTCCTCCTCCTGTGTGTACATTTAATATTATTTATGACCGTGAAGCTTCAGTTGTGTAAATCTTAATAAAAGAGCAGTTGGAGTCTCCTGAATTAAACTCAAACATTAAAGTAGTTTGGACTTAAACGTGTATTTTTAAGGATTAGTGATTTCATTTACTTCTTTAAGTGGGCTTTCTTTAAAAAATAAAAGCCCCAAAATATTAATTAGCTACCAATTATTAATAATCGATTCATTTTAAAATTGTTTACAGGTAATATAAAGTAAATTTAACACTTTATTTGGTCAATCCGTGTTTAACTGTTAGAAAAAGTTTTTCTTTTGATCTATAATCAATTATTGAAAGATAAGTGAAGGTGATAAACTATTTAAGTTACACAAATCAAATGTTTTTTAATGCTTAATTTGTTGGACTTAACACGTTTAAACAGTTTGAGTTGAACTGATGTGAAATAAAGACATCATCGACTTCATTATCTGCAGTCTGAGCATACTTCCCTGGTTTGAGGCAGTGTCAGTGGGGGTCAGAGGTCAAGAGGAAGTGAGATTATGTGGGAAAGTGTTGCAGGTTTTTACTGGATGTCGGTGTTGTCAGATAACGTCACTCTTAGGGCAGCAGGAGCGGATCAAGAGGGTGGCCACCCCAGTTTAACACATTCATTCACATTCATTTAACAAATAATGTGTGTAAGGAATTAAATTATTTTAATTTATAGGTTTAAGTTCAATGAAAGAAAACGTATTTGGAAAAATGTCTGAAATAAAACAATTTCTTAATTTCTATTCATTGCTTCACTAATGAGCCAGAATAATGTTTTTGAGTTCAAATATTTTCATTTTGAGGCTTTTCAAAGCAAATATTTGATATATGAGATTGTTTGTGATTGAATGGGCTCATATTTCTGCCACTTCTTCACCAAACACCAAAGTCACACAACAACACAAACTAACCAACCCGTGGAGGCTGTGGTAGACCAGTGCTCTGCAGCGTTAAATTAGTATTTTTGTGAATGGAGTCTGGTGAATAGAGCGATTAACAGCTTCCCTTTAAGTACAGTCTCCACTCATAATAATAATAACTAAGGAGGTCAAAAACTGTCAAAATACTACAATATTTCTAATGGAAATAAAAACTGAATCATTTGAGCGGGCGTCAAATCAATAATTAAAAAACTCTGCCGTCGCGGCTCCAAACAGGAACTATTGGGAAGAGAAAAGTGGACCATGAGGACTCATTTTCCACCAGATTAGCTCTAAAAGATTTCTCGAATTCTTCGTTTAAAACGTTAGAAAATAGTTAAAATGTGTCACAGTTTCCTAAAGGCCAACGCAACGTCTTCAGATCAAAAAGACTTTAATGACGACTCGAATTGCAGCGCTAATAAAAGTTCATTCTTCAACCCGACGAGGACGAGTTTACGTAGCTAAACTCCACCTGCTGAGGAAGACCATGTGCTTCGATCGAAAGCTCAGGAACTTCTCCTAAATGGATCTCGTGGTCGGGGGAAACATCCAGGAGTGGAGGCTGTACTTAAAGGGAAGCTGTTTCAACTTGAACCGCCGTTATGTATATATTATATATATACTATTTATACGTTCTGTCCACCAGACTCCATTCACAAAAACAGAAAGAAGAAGAAAGAAATGGCAGAAATATGAACCGATTTAACAATCTCATATATTAAACATTTGCTTTGAAAAGCACCAAAACGAAGATATTTGAACCAAAAGCATCCGTGGAAATTGTTTTATTTCAAAACCTTTAGACATTTTATCCAAATACAAGTGTTTTTTAACTGGACTTTAGCCGATCACTGAGTCTAAAATGTATCATTAAATACATTTCTGTTGCATTAAAAAGGGAAGGAAAGAAAAACACGATTTTATATTTAATTTATTAATGTTCGAGTCATAAAACAACCTGAATGTGAAACTTTTCCTCTCATCATTTCTGTCATTGAGACTCTACCTGGAGTTCACAGTTAGTGTGCAACACCCTTCCTCACCCCTTCCTCCTCCCCCACCTACTCTCATGCAACACACCACATGGCTGTACTAATGTGGGCAGGGGCTTGTCGGGGCTGCACCAATCGGAGCCCGGCCTGTAATTCGTGTCACGTTCTCTGCCAATCAGGAGCCGAGTTGTAATGCGTGCGTTGGAGTTTCCAGCTGAAGGAAGCTGCTCAGTCTGGTTCATACCGGTCTACTCCTGCTCGCTCTGTGTTGCCGGTCACACACACACACACACA